TCTAAATATTCCTGCCATCTCCACCCTTTTCGCTGCTTAACTTCTAAGCTTTCTATCCCAGCCCCTTTCTTCCTTTCAATCATATCATTCAACTTTCTTAATACATTTTCCCCTGTTTTAATTCATCCACCACTATTATTTTTATTATTATCTCCTCTTTCTTTTTTCCCTTCTTCATTTCTTTTATTGGCTTTTCCCTTTCTTTTGTTATCTCCTCATTAAAGAGAGACCCTATTCCCACAGAAAACACTGAGCCATGAAACCTGGGTAGGCATGTCTGGAGGGGGTTGTCATCTGACTGGGTGGGAATGATGTTGAGTTGGCCACACCCACCCAGGTTTTGTGGCTCCCTGTGTTTTCTTTTCTGTGGGAAACGGATCCAAATGGCTCTTTGAGAGTTTAAGATTGCCGACCACTCTGCTACACCATGCTTCAAGACAAAATTTCATTTATTTGTAATTAGAAATAAATATTTCACAATATATAATTGCATTTTTTTTGTGATTAATCACTATGCTTTAATTATGTTCAATTTATAGCAATAAAAATACATCCTGCATATCAGATATTTACATTACGGTTCATAACAGTAGCAAAATTACAGTTACATAGTAGCAACGAAAATAATATTATGGTTTGGGGTCACCACAACATGAACTATATTAAAGGGTCGCGGCATTAGGAAGGTTGAGAACCACCGGTCTAGTGGATTATGAATGGATTATTTTCTGTTAATTTCAGTAGGAAAGGTAACAGTGGATGGTGCTCTTTCAAATGTGAAAATAACGTTCATCTGATTGGGGACTTTGTAGATTTAAGCAGAAGTCCAGGCAAATTTCTCTGTTGGGAAAGTTATCTTGCACAATTGAGATGACTTTGACAACATCATGTTGAACATTGCTGATCTTTTATTTTTACTAGGGCCCAGTAACTCCCAGCAAAAGGAAAGGGGCTCGTTCCAAAGGAAGAGCAAAGAGCAAGAGATCCCATTCTCAAAGCAGCTCCAAGGAAGAAGCATCACCCAGCCCCAAGAAGCTCAGCCGCTTGCAGGAGGAGCACAGTACTGCGGCCACAAGAGCCTCTCGCCCACAGACCAAGGAATCTCAGACCCCTCCGGATCCTGACGGAGCTCATCGGAATGGAGGACGGCACAAAGCCACAAAAGCACAAAGCCACAAAAAGGCCACTCAGCAGAAAGAGGAGCACAAAGAGGAAGAGGATGAAAGAGATGCTTGCAGCACTCCAGAGAAGGACTTGGAAGGCGAGGTAATCCATTTTCTTCCACTGTCAAAGATATATACAGTATATAAACTCTGTGAGTCAGTTAGATAGTTATATAACAATGTAGCAAAGGGCTACTTTAAAAAGCTTGACTTTAAAACATGGCTGTGTTGTTGTGTACCTACCTAGATTTTAACTCCATCCAGAAAACCTCTGTTTTATACCACATATCATGGGACATTTTGCATTCAAAGCTTTCTGCCTTCTTACAGGAGACAATCACCCTGGAACCGGTACATTTTCTACAATGTCACAGTAAGGCCAACAACAGGGATGACTTCAAGACTCAATTATGGGCCTGTGTTTTTGAGCCACCACTAGATTGTGGGACGAGAAAAGGTGAGCATGGTCTAGTGGCCTGGGCTGTCCTAGAATTAAAATGACAGTCAGTAAATCTGATCACAGTGTTCTCCAGGAACTCTCATTCCTCTTGTGAATTCTGAATTTTTATGCACATTGTTCCATAATTTTTACATGTTTGTTTTCTCCAGCAAGTTGCTTATTTGTATTTCAAATATGAAGGTGATTGCTATAAAGGAGCTGCTATTTTTCAATACACTCATAATTCAAGGTATGCCTATAGTAAAGAAGTTGTAAATTAGTAAAGAAGTTGCAGTTATCATGTGGTGATCAGGCTGGTGCCCACTCCTAATTTAATAAAAATGCAAAGAGACAGGAGCAAATAAAGACTTTGTCATCTTTGGCGAAGAGCCTAATCTCACTCTTAGTTTAAAGTATCAGGCTTGTCTGGGGAATTTTACTCTTGCTGTACAGGTAGTCTCACTTAACAAGCACAATTGGGATTGGCAACTCCATCAATGTCATTAAGTGAGATGTCATATGACTGCAACTTTTAATTTCACTGCAAACTTCTCTATTGACTGCTTGTCAAATTGGTTGTGAAGTATGCAAATGGAAATCATGTGACACTGTGACAGTCGTAAACACACACTTGTTACAAAATGCTTGAACCATGGGACCATGGGGATGCTGCGTGGGTTGTAAATGCAAGGACTGGTTGTGGAATTACTTTTTCAGTGCTGTCATAACTTCAGACAGTCACTAACAGGGCAGTCATTAAGTGAAGTCTACCTGTATGAAGAAGAAACCGGCCTATTTAGTGTAGCAATCCTTGGTTCACACTTACAAAAGTATTATATAGATAATAGGTATGGAATGTATACATTGTATCTATTTAAATATCTGTTTCACTTCTACAGCAATTAAAAACAGGAGGCTTATGATGACAAGAGGATTACAGTCACTGTGCTTTTATCTTTCAGACCCTGTGGTGAGCTCTTCTCGGACAGCAGCTACCTGTGGCGGAGATTCTGTTTGTTTGGTTGACTGTGAAACAGGCATTGTTTTGAAAAAGTACAAAGTGACTGGGGAGGTAAGGGAAACACAATTGCTCTCGCCTTTCTGCTTTTTATTTAGTGGGACATTATTCAAAAGCTTTATGAGTGCAGTGATGTCTCCTGATGCACCCCATGACTTAACACTGGTGCAGTGTTGAATTCTGTTCTTCAAAATACCCGAATTCTATAACTATAAAGCTTCTGTTGATTGGAAATTTGACTGGGGAGGTCATCAGAAGAGTGGCAGGAGGCTGCTAAATTATAATCAGAAAATTTCTAAAAAGGGAACACGAGTAAACTGTTATGCCCTTACCCCTTAGAAATTCAGTGCAGTTTTTAACAGATTTGTATATGTTAGAGTGTTTGGACTCCCAGGGGGGAAAATAGCAAACTGAAGATGACTCCACAAAAAAATAGATTGAATGACCATGGCAGAATGAAGAATCAGCAAGTAGACAAGCTCTTCTTAATTCCTCTCTGGACGAGGAGGGGATTTGTGATCGGCCACAAGGGCTCCAGATAGTTGCTCCATGCGAAGAGACTGCAAAGCAGAGAGTTTAGAACTCTGAGTGATGAGGGAGATAACCATCTTGCTCAAATGATGGTTGGTGGCATTGAAAGGTGCTACTATATTTGCATACTTCATTTTCTAATCACTTTCAGAAATTGCTTGTAACTGCTTCAACTATTAGGAACCTTGCTTTGGATAGATAAGTCTGAAAACATTAGATGAGTTTCCTTAGTGAAAGATACCAGTTTAAGGATTTTTTAAAAACATGTTTTTCAATAAACAGCAAAAGGGTGATTAGAAGTTTAATTTTGGAAAGTTACAAATGGAATAAGTATACAGTTTTAGAATGAAGCAAAATATTTTAACATTGGACATATTAAAGGATATTTTTGAATAATGGACTTGAGCATCTGTCTTTAGACTATGCCAAAAAGTCATTATGAAAGTAGCAAGTTCTTTCTGACAAGACCAAGGTTGAGTTGAGGGTGAATTTCTACAAGAATGAAATGGAAAAATATGCTACACTGAACGTACAAAATAATCCAGCTGATGTCTTAATAATTAAAAGGAATATACATATAACAAACCAAGGGATACTTGTATATGCAAACCTGCATAATTTTCCTGCATTGGATTTGCAAAAGAGGCTGGTTAAAGCTTTGAAAAAATGTGGGGGTGGGACAAAGAAAAAAAAGGAAAAGAAATCAAGTTCTGAGACATTATTTAAGGGGATTAAATATATCAACATTGCACCAGGACTGAAATGGCAAGGGTTTGTTTATAAAGAGACGAGATATGGGAAAAAGAGATGATTTGTTATACAGTATTTAAAGAGAAAATAATCTACTAAAATTGTTTATATGTCTGATGAAGGGAGAAATAATTTATTTATATATTTCTTTTCCTTTACTACATTCTTAGTTTTCTTTCTTTTTTTTTCTTTTCTTTTTTATGCACTTCTATTTTTTCTTTTTGGTTTAGTTTTTTAAATCATTGTAAGGGCAATTTTTCATAAAACTGCCATTTCAAAGATTGTTTGGTGCCCTTGGTTGTTTTTATCCAAGTCTACCCAAACGTCTCATCTTGCATGGCTTGTTCTTCACCAATACCTTGCCTTTTTCACCAGGAGTTTTACACTGTCACATGGACAACTCTAACAATGGTAACAAGTGACGGGAGAAAGAAGAAACACAACGTTTTGGCTGCTGCTGGGAGAAGAGGCATCGTAAAGCTAATTCATGTGACTGCCGATTACTGTTACGGAGAAATCAAGGCTCACAAGAAACCCATTGCTACTGCTTGCTTTAGTCCAACCTGTGAAACACACCTTTTCAGTAAGACATCTTATGTTCTCCAATCACTCATTTCTTCTCAGCATTTTTTGAGTCAAGAAATTTTCTCAATTTGTTATTTGGAAGCCTATCTTTTTATTTCATTACAACTTTTTCCTCTCTCTTCTCTGTCTCCCAACAGCTGCCTCCTATGACAAAAAAATATGCGCCTGGGACATTGGAATTCCAGACTGTGACTATAATTTCCAAGAAAGGTAATTCCACCTTTCACATCTGCAAAGTGGTGTTTGCATTAATAGAAGAGAGAAACTGAAATGTATTTCATTTGTTAGGCAGCTGATGGTACTGGACACCATTTCCACACCTTTACGTATTGCCCTAGTACCCTCTTGCCCAGATCGGTTCTTGGTGGCTGGTTGCGAACAGGGCTGCTTCGCCTGGGATATTAGACTGGATGATAAACCGCAGAAAAACAGGTGAGTAGAAAGTGTCTTCCTGGGAAAATCTAACTCTGTGGCTGCTAAGAATCTATACCAATGTTATGGCATGTAATAAGCTCATGCCGCATATTGGAAAGATAAATTACAAGTACTACTTGAATTACAACAGTAAATGACCCTGGCAATTGTAGTCATAAATTGTGACAGTCAGAAAGCATGTTATCACATCAGCAAACCCGATCTCATGCCTTTTTTTGTGTTAGTTGTTAAGCAAGCATGGTGGCCATAAAGTGAAGTCATTGTTTGCTATGGGACATTTTTTCTCCAGGGTTTAGTGGTTGTAATTGGGACACTACACTTTTCATCAGAAGAAAACTACACCTCTTTTTTGCCTATTCTGTATAAACAATTGGCAGCTTTTTGATCTCTTTGATATCAAACTGCTCTTTATAGGATGTTTTAACTGAGCAAAATATTGTAAAAATAGGCAAAAATAAAAAGAATTTAAAACTGAAATTGGATTTTAAAATTGTTGGAAAAAATAAGTAGCATTTTTTGGGAGAACTCTAAAAACTGCATTTTTTGCTACTTTTGCAAGGCCATCTGTGGCTCGGACTCTGAATGGCAAACCAGTTACGATATAACTCTGACTTGTAGTTAGTTATGCCAAATTTAATGATTTCTAAATTCTCCTTACATGCAAAAATGATTAACTAGCAATGCTAATATATGAATGTTTTCAGTTCTACTATTTTCTATCAGTGGTTATTCAAGTCTTAGGATATATTTTTTCTTCATCTAAATCAATGGTTTATCTTGTTAGAGATTCATGGACTGATTCCAGTGTTCACTGAATTGTGGTCCAATGTCTATCAAGATGTACAGTACAAACAACTATAGCCTACGTATTTTGAAGATGTCCACTTGAAATAAGGGTTAAAACCAATATATTTATTATTAGAGCATTTGCTTACTGTAGGTCAAAGTTACACTAATTGCTCAATACATTGATTCTTTATTTTCTAACATTTCAGAGCTTTTGAAGTTGAATTTCAATTTCCAGATGATGAAGGGAATGACACGTCTTCTCATCGGGTGGATGGCCTAGCCTTTCTGAATGAAGACATTGTGGGTAAGAAATAAGCATTATGATATATCAAAGTAAATTAGGTAAATTCATGGGAGCATCTTTTCTTTTTTTGCATGATCATTTTTTTATAAAGAGCCTCTCCCACACAAAAGAGCAACACATAATCTCAAAATATCTTTTGGCTTAACATGTACATTTAGAAAACAGGGTGGAAGAGGATGAAATGGAAAAACTAAGAGATTAGTATTCCCTCAGAGCTGCTGCCCCATCTATATTTACAAAGAGTAACAATAGAGAAGGGAAATGTTACCGTTTGGTGTTATTTCTGTGTTATTTCAGTCTGTTTTTTCTAAAGAGAATAAGGAGGCTTTGTCCAAACAAGGCTTGCATGGAGTTTTTTTCCAGGTTGTTCCATGCTTAGTATGGAACATAGAAAATTCTAAACTTCCTACTATCCATTAGAACGCTTCTATCTTGGTATGTTTTAATTTAGAATAATAAATGATACCTGACATATTGTTTTATGCTCCAGCCTTGGGAATTCTCCAACCTTGGGAAGATTCTCCAACCTTGGGAATTTCCTGGGGTGCTAACGTCAACTCCCAGAATTTTCATCAATGGTCATGGAATTCTAGGAGCTGAAGTCCATACTCCTGGAAATTATTCCCGAAGTTGGAAAACATTGCTGTGTGTACTTTGGACCAAAGCCACTGAATTCAATTGATTGATGTCAAAGGCATTTTACATGATGTGTTGTAAGTTATGAGCTTATGAGTAATAGCTGTATTATTAGGGGCTTTAAGATCGCACCATAATTGCCAGAAAATAAACTTTGTAATGTCATTGATGTCACATATTTTTATTGAACCTGCTGTGATAATTGCCTTAAAACAGTAGTGAATATAGGAAGAAATGCTGATCTAGCAGCAGACCCATTGTTTAGCAAGGGTACCAGTGTTTTTTTTTTCCTTCTTCAGTTACCAAGAGTTCAAAGAGAGAATCTATAAACCTCTGGAGCTGGAGTCGCTCTTTCAAACAAGGCAAAAGTGGGCGGAGGACAGTACAGGCTGTCATTCTGGCTGAACTGGAATGGTCTTCAACAGATCTTCCTTACCTCACTCTCAGTACATGCCCAAGTAAGTGCTGGTATCATCCCTGAATAGCCATGGATATATAGCTCCATTCATGTCTCTGGCACAAACATGTCTTCTGCCACCATTTTAGTTTATTACTGCTGCTATTGCTTCTTTCTCCCCTCAGATAAGCTTAACCAGTTGGGTTGGAAACTTGAGAATGCTCTTAAATAGTAACAGATTATCACCAGGGTGTTCATTTTATGAAATGCTGCAGTTCCAGATTAATGTAGGCTTAGCTTTGGGGCAGTAGATGAGGTTTCCCTGGTTTCAATCCCCAACATGCCAGGACCCCAGAGAAGCATTGGGGAAGAGGTAAGAGTAAGAATATAGTTGGTAGGAAGGGTGGGTGCTGGTAAGTGAACTGAGAAGGCACCCCCAGCAAAATGCGCTCCAGATGTGGAATTCAAGCCTGGCCTAGAAGCATTTGAACAATTTGGTGATACTTGTTTTACTTTTGCAGCAGAAGAATATGTGTTCTGTGGTGATGAGAAAGGAAGCATCTGGATGTATGACCTCAGCAACCATTTGTCAGCTCTTTGTGCCACTAAGGAAGATTGCCCAACCGAGAGAATAGGGCCTTCCCAGGTATTCAAGGATATGGTGTCTAGGTCATGATGATCCAATGTTGATTGATTTGAGTTGTAATAAGAAACAAGTGTTTTCAATTCATTTATTCTATTTTGAGGTCACCAAATGCCAAAATGTTCTGGGCAGATTATAATTTTTTTTTGTTTATTAATTTACAAATTAAATTTAAAAATTTAAAAATTTAAAAGCACACAGGTAAGCCTCAACTAATGACAGCAATTGGGATCTAAATTTCCATTGCTATGCAATGCAGTCGTAACGCATGATGGCATTCGTTAACAATTCATGCAGTCCTGACTTCCATCATTAATAATCCCATGGTTGTTAGAGGCCAGGTTTTTACAACCATGTTTGTTTGCAAGCAGGCTGGCTGGCAGGTAAGTGGCTGCTGGAGGGTGGAAAGGGGTATGAGGAAGGCACATTGAGGCTCAGGGAGGGTGTAAGGTGTGTATGCAAATGGTTAGTATAGTACAAGAGCAGAAGGGTTAAGGGAGAGTGCATGGGTGGGGGAGATTTACCCGTGACTTGTGACCTTCTTTGCTGGCTTCCTGATTGACTTTCTGGGGAAGCTTCTAAATGGAGATCATGATCCCAAGGCACTGCAATCGGTCATGAGATCTGATTGTCAAGCACACAGATTATAATCATGTGTCCATAGGGATGCTGGGTGGCTGGAATTCAGAGGACCAGTTGTAATCCCTATTCGTTTCGCATCATAACTTCAAATGGTTGCCAAATTATCATTTCACATGTTACACACACTTTGCATTAATTGAAATTTGGGTTACATCAAACACAACCTGGCATCGATTTACAATTTGCACTAAAATAATATTGCATTATTTAAACTTGTACTAATCGTGATTTACCTATCTCAGTAGTGGGCTTTATCTTCTTAGCCACCATTCCTACCATTCAGGCTTCATCAGCTGCTTGCCCTGCCATCCCAAATCGGCATCATTTATCTACAATACAGTGTGCTATACTTTATTTAGTTCAAAGAATGATGACCCTCTAAACATAAAAAACCCTCCTCCTCCCCCTCTGAAAGAAAATTAAAATTCATTTCCTATACATCCTTTTCCTATGAATTAGGTACAGAAGAGGCAGAACCTGAGGTGGAGTCAAGACAAGCGGACTTATGCCCACAAAATGTCTACATTATGTCCCCAAAAACCTACACCCCCCCCCTCCAAATTCTTTTGCCTCTTAGTGCTGACCATCAGTTGAGTAGATTCCTGTACAAAGGCATCAGCAATAAATCTTCTTAACTGGAACTTAACATATGGTCCTGATTCCCGAGGTGGCGCAGTGGTTAAATGCAGCACTGCAGGCTGCTTCAGCTGACTGCAGTTCTGCAATTCGGCTGTTCAAATCTCACTGGCTCAGGGTTGACTCAGCCTTCCATCCTTCCGAGGTGGGTAAAATGAGGACCCAGATTGTTGTTGGGGTCGATATGCTGACTCTGTAAACCGCTTAGAGAGGGCTGAAAGCCCTATGAAGCGGTATATAAGTCTAACTGCTATTGCTATTGCTATTCTTTGCGCCTGACAGACATGGATATGAGAAGATCTCAGCACAGGGACACATTTCAGCTTAAATCAAGAAAAACTGTCAATCTTATTAGCTTTAAGATGTATGGACTTGAACTCCCTGAATTCCCCAGCCAACATGCTGAGATTGACAAACCTTTATGTGCCCATATATATAACTTTGTCAGGATTAATATAGAGAAGAGTCTTAGCTTTTGAAAAACATCCATTGCAATTTTAAAGAAAATAGCTGATTTCCTAAACATTTTATAGCACAATAAAATAATTTTGTGAATCTCGTGACTTTCTGGATAAATTCACTCTCTTTTCCCACATAGATTCTAAAGTGGCCGGAATTGAAGGCAAATGGTGAGTTGCTGACAGATGTCTTGGTGAACAACGTGGTCACAGATCCCACTTTTACATATCTAGTCGCACTGACAGATGTCAACATTGCCGCAATATGGAAGAAAGTCTAGCTGGGTTGGCAACCCAGAAGGAGCAATCCCATTTTTTCAACCACATTTCAGTAGTGCAGTATTTGTGACTGTTCTGAGAATAATCAGGGTGGGTTGGGGATAGGGATGGGAGTTGGTGGGATGAAATTCATATATATAGATATATATATATATATCTCAATGCAAGAAAATCAACCAAAGGTATTGGCTGGAACTACATGAAGTTGTTGCCAATGCCGACATCTTTTAACTGTGACTTTGCTTTATTTGTGTCTTAAGTGTATTTGTTTTATAGGACAGTATTTAATAAAACTTGATACAACATAATTGAAGCACTTTTTACAAAGTATGTTAAATATATTTACTTAGGCCCCCATTCTTGAAAGATCTTGGAAAAAGCTACCTATCCAAGTTTGCATTGTGCGGGCAGGACTGTTGAACTCACTGAAAAGAAATACTTTTCATTGTAAAGCAGTGTGGACTTGTACGTACAGTACAAGGATAATTTCATTCAGGCAATTGCATAAAGGAAGATTCCCCTTAGAGGAAACTGCAAAAAGGGGGAAGCATGAGAACCTCCTTGAGTAAAACTATTACTTCATAAGGTGCGGATATAAGGAAAATTTAATTTTATAATTCATCATCGTCTGACTGTTGGTGTAATTAACTTTGTCTACTTGGCCTGCTCTTAGGGAACAATAGCAGTTCTGCAATGCATTCCCTGCTCCTTTCTGATATATACAATTGCCTCTGGGGATACCCTCAGGCACAGAAAATATGTGCTTGGAAAATATATTGTACATAGACATACAGTTTGCCTGCATAATTTAAAAAGAGCAGTATCTTAACAGTAACGTAGAGAAGAACTATACCAAGGCACATCTTGAGAAAGAGTAAAAACAACTATGCATCTGAAAGAAAATCAAGAGGTATTTCTAACTGAAATGGAAAGCACACAGTATATTGTCAGTTTTAAATTAGGAGACAATTTCAACAACTATTTTACCATGTTTTTTTGCTGAAGGTATAATCACTTGGAAAACAGAGCAAAACTTAAGAAGTATAATTTATTAGCCATCACATAAGCTGAACTTTCATGTAAATGACCTATATTGAAATTTCTTAGAGGTTATAAAGTAGCAAAGTAATCATAAATACATTTCTTGTAGACTACTACATTGAAAAATGAATTTTATTTACAAATATATTTGATAAACATAACTACTACTCAATTCCTTCTTGTTTGTCTTTGATGGCAACCTAAGAGAAAAATAAGCACATGGTAACTGAAAAATAAAAATAAATAAATAAAAATCTTGAGAATTTCATTTAAGGTCTGATTATAAAAGTAAGGAAAGTTCCCTTGTTGGAGGAAGGAGCTGCCATTATTCTAAGTCTATCCGAACTTCAAAATGCATGAGCTAAACCTGACCAGACAAAATGTATTTATTTATTTATAGCCCACCTTTATTCTTCTTTACAAATAACTGAAGCCATTTAATTATCCACCATCATTAATGGCAGATTGGTGAAATTATCAAAGAAACTGCAACATATTCTTATATTTGTGATTTTTCTTATCCTTCTCAGAAAACAAAGCCATCTGAAAAGTCAACGCAGCTGTTTAAAATGCCATATCTCTTTCTCTGTACCTAATTATTCATGGCAAGCCCCATTATTACCAGAAACATAATTTGATGGAAATGTCACAAAGGACATTCTTGGTTAGGGTAACGAGGATATAAAGCTCCCTGCCATAGAAGACCCACACATTGATTTCTGATGATGTTTGACGTCTATGTGACTTTATTGCCCAGAACTCGCATATTAGAGGTGGGAATAGATGATGGATCTTGGGAGCCTCTTCAGATCAAATGGTATTAACAGGCAATTTTTTTGATGTCTTATTCTCTAACAACTATATACTTTAATATCTTATGGGTGACAGTTACAAGATTCTGTCTCCCCAGAAGGCTTAACCTGCCTCAATTTCAAGTTTCGGCCCCAAAGTTCATCTTGCTATAAGGGTAGATGCATAATTAAAAAACCCCAATGAAGCTTACCGTATTTTTCGAAGTATAAGATGCACTGGAGTATAAGGCGCACCAAGGTTTTGAAGAGGCAAATTTTTAAAAAACGTAGGTAGAGGGATAGAGAGGGAGAGAAAGAGAAAAATACAGTAGGGAGGGAGGGAGAGAGAGAGTAGGTAGGTAGCTAGATAAAAGGATAGAAAGAGAGAAATAGGGAGAGAGAGGGAGTGTAGGTAGGTAGAGAGATAGAGAGAAATACAGTAGATAGGTAAGGAGAGAGTAGTTAGGTAGGTGGATAAGGTAGATAAAGGGACAGAGAGAAATATAGTAGGTAGGTAGGGAGAGAGTGTGTAGGTAGGTAGAGGAATAGAGAGAGAGAGAAATAGAAAAATACAGTAGATAGGTAGGTGTTTCTGCTGGCACAGCACTTGATCAATGTAATTCTCATCAATCAGTTAAAGAGCTTTCCAAAAGGAAAAAATGGCCCGTCTTTTGCTCATTTCTGCCCTCCCCAGCCCCCAGGAGCTCTCTGAAAGCTTCCATAAGGCTCTGCACAGCCATTTTGGTAAAGGGGCGGGGCTTCGGGAGGCAAAAAATGCTGTATTTGATGTATAAGATGCACACAGATTTTCAGCCTCTTTTTTGAGGAAAAAAGGTGCGTCTTATACTCCAAAAAATATGGTAAATATTTAACAGAGCTGAAATATCTCACCTAATTCAGTCATAGCTTTAGGTTTCATCATTTCGGCCTTTGGCAAGCAGCCCTCAGCCCCCCAAAATTATGTGATGTTAGGATCTGCTGACTTACCCGGAATCTCTCCTCAAGGAGAGAAAGCTCACTGATGAGATCTGTGATTGCATTGGTAAAAGCTTCTTGGGGGCTGTAATCGGGGGTTGTCTGAACACGAATGATTATTTTATGTTCAAGGGGATGGGGGACTTTGTATCCTGCAAATAACACTTGAGGATCTTTCAGCAATTGCCTGGGGGAAAAAAACAGACAAAATTTCATTGTTAAAACGATAACTGCTGCTGGATGACTAAGGGCCAGTCAATCTCACAGTTCTTTTTCCAACACAGCTTTGGAACTATGCAATAAGAATGCAAAGAAAATATGTTTCTTGTTGCTCATTTTTAACACCTAGAAAAGAAAGTTTCTGCTTGGGTAATTATGACTATTCTTTTCTTTTCTACACACTGTATATTTACACGGAGCGCTGACTGTTGTAGCCAAAATAACTCCATCCATCGATTAGAAAAAGAATGCACTAGTATTGAAAGATCCCAATAACGTACAAGGTTCTACAAAATTTCAAGGGAAAAAAAAATCCATTAGAGAAGGGAAACAAAACCAATCAATAAGCTTATATTGAGTGTGATGATTAAACATGAAAAGTTTTAGCATATTGTGGAACAGAATTCTGGAAAGGAAATTAAGCTAAATATATATGGCCATCACTGTGTTATAGATTTAAATTACACCAGCTCTCCACATGGTCTGTATATACTCTGGGGTTTTACAAGTAAGATAAGATTTGGTAGGGATACTGAAAGGCTCACTATTTTTTCTGCGTTCCTTGGCAGTTGACCAATTGAATTGCATTCTTAAATCAACTCATCAACTTTATTTTGTAAGAACAAAAACCATTGCTACTCACGACTTGATTATATTCCCAAGAGTGTGATCTTCTTTGTTGATTGTAAACAGACAAGCATTTGGCACTTTTGTGTCTTTATTTATTGTAATCCTTCAATGAGACAGACCGGGGGGAAAAGAAAAAAAGGGGTCATATTAACACCAGCTTGTGCAGTCTTCTCTTACAAATAATCATGCAATAATTTTACAACTGTTTTATGTAAACCTAGATTATATTAAGTTCAGCCAAATTGTTCATACTTTAAGTACATAAAGCTACCTTGACACGAAGTTGAAGTTGCTTTACAAAGCCATTTCAGAGTGGAAGCAGCATTTAGAGCCTGTCAAAAATCTTTTATTCATTAGATAAATATCTGTTTTTCAATCTGCCATTTTTTAAGACAGGCTCCATGCATTCCTTCTTCCAATTCTCTCTGCAACCTTGCTTGTGTGATAGACTGGACTAAGAAAGAGGAACTGGCTCCCAGTAAATTTCCATGGATCTGTGGGGATTAGAATCCAGGTCTCCTCCAATCACTATATGATAATGACACTTTTAAAAATAAAAATAGAGAAAATAATAGACACAGTGTTTTGATGCAAAGATGTAAATTTGTCTATATTTCTATCCAAATTTCCTACTTAAAAACATTCTAATTAACTAAAAGCTATGATTTTTAGTGCATAGGAAATTGCCTTTAGAGGAAATCAATCTACATGGTTATTTGGGGACAAACAAAATCCAGCAAATCTTAAAACCTGGTAAAAATCAATCAGCATATACCAAGTCATAATACGCAAATTATAAACCAAAAACACACACAACAGATACCTTTACAAAATTTGAATAGTCCTGCTAAATATATAACAAAAAGAGGAAATTGAAAAAAATATGCAAAATATACATTCACAAATCATCAAGAAACTGAGGGCTACGCAACTCTTAAGTTGGGTTTTGTTGCACTGTATTTTCTTTTACATTTTATCATAACCTTGTAGTAGAGAATGGAATGCAGAGGTTTTCTGCCTTAGCAACCAAATTTCTGTAACTTTCTAACTGCAAGATAAGAATTTTCTCAGGCGGAGGTAACAAAGGGATATTCAGCTTTATGTACTATTTCAACTGACTGCAACTGTTATCATTTTACAACACTCAAAGAGTGTGACATCTTTTCCCATACTAACTTTTATTTTTTCCTACTTTTAAAACAATGCTCATTCAAATGATCATGCTTAATATTATGGGATGTTTAGCAATGTCCATCTTTCTGATGCAATTGGATAGGATGATTTTTTCCCATCCAACCAACTATTATTTTGTATTTCTTTCTGCTGTATTAAGGTATTCCAAGGATTTGCCCCAGGTTCCTCTTGGTCTCTTCTTATTTCAGAGACAACCCCCACCCCTTTGTCAGAGTACTCTAATAAATTGTATTAAATGATCTTTGGACTCAGTCTCTTATTGAAGAAGAGTGTGCTGAGATAGAATCTAGAACCCATTTGACCATCAAAACTAATGGATGAAATAAACATGATGAAATAAATATGGAAAATATTTACACATACAAATCTCCATTTGTAGGCACCAGAATACAGAACAACAGAGTTGGAAGGGACCTTGGAGGTCATCTAGTCCAACCCCCTGCTCAGGCAGGAAATCCTATACTATGCCAGTGAGCTTTTAGTATTTGCATACATATTTTCAAAGCCCAGTATGTCTAGTCAGGTGGCAGCATATAGCTAAGCTTATCTGCTCACCAAAAAAAAAAAGGGGGGGGGGTTGGACCTAATTAGAATTTGAATGAGATATACTTTAGGGTTGCTGGTTAGTCTGGCAAGTAGCCACCACAGATCGCTATGATAAAGGAACAATATACCCAATACTACGCATCCTGACTGCAGCAAAAATGGTGTATGCACCGCAATGGAAGAGTGAAAATACCCTTCAGATGAGATAATAAGGAAGATATTAGTCTGTGCAGAAATGGATAGATTAATGTTAAAAATAAAAGACAAAGGAGAGATAAAATATTATGACACATGGAACAGATTCTATCAATGGTTAGAAGCATGAGGTGGAAGTTGGAATATGAAAAAAATTAGGGTAGGGGGACCTGGAAATCTATATATGCATCGTGGAATGAGAATGAATAGGAATGCTTTAAAATAATTGTACACCAGCAGCACTGTTTAAGTAGCATATATGTTATTTGTTTTCACTTTGGTTTTTATGGCAAGTGAAATGCCAGGACAATCACTGCATGTTCAATGTACTTCTATGTAAATAATAAAAACATAGTTTTTTTAAAAAAAGAATCAACAGATGAGATCCATTGAGACCTTTTTCTAAAATCTAGCATAGCACAGAATAGAATTCTTTATTGGCCAAGTGATTGGACACACAAGGAATTTGTCTTAGGTGCATATGCTCTCAGTGTCCATACAGAAAAATAAAATAGATTCATCAAGAATCATAAGGCACAGCACTTAATGATAGTCACAGGGTACACATAAGCAATCAGGAAACAATCAGTATCAATATAAATCCTAAGGATACCAAGTTACAGTCCTGCAGTCATAAGTGGGAGGGGATGGGTGATAGGAACGATGAGAAGACTAACAGTGATAGCAATGAGCATTGATTTTTTCCCCAAGATCTTGAAGAATTTAACTTAGAAATGTCAAACAAGTAAAGCCCAGGGCTTCTTCAGGCAAAAACTCGCCCTCGTATTTTTGGCTAGATTCCTACCCCTTCTAAGGGGGTAGGCAGTTGATGCGAGCTGCCTTTAAGTTCTTTAAATAAGTGAATACAATCTTTCTTTCAGGAGTTGAAGGCACCACGAAGAGCCCACCCGCCCCATTTGCTCTCCCCATCCCCCTCTGCAAGGGTTTGAGACACAGGGGGCTAACATAGCCCTTCCCCCGCCCTCCTAACCGGGAGGGCTGCCTCTCCTCCCACCCCACGATCCTTTCCCCTCTCCCACTGACTTTTTCTCCCCTTCGAAGAGCAAAAAGGACTCGAAGGCCGGAGGGGCATTCATTCTCCCCACTTGCTTCTCGCAGACGTTTCTTCAGCAAAGCCGCCGCTTCCGGGAGAAATATGTTTTNCCTGATATCTTTACCACTACACCAAACTACAGGTAGTCCTCAACTTACAACAGTTCCTTTAGTGACAGGACTAAAAAAGGGGACTTTTGACTATTTTTCACACTTATGACCATTGCAGCATCTCCATGGCCACATATTCAAAATTCTGCTGCTTGTCAACTGGTTCATATTTATGACGGTTGAAGTATCCCAGGGTCATGTGATTCCTTTTTGTGATCCCTTCTGATGGGCAAAGTCAATGGGGAATGCAAATTCACTTCACCACCATGTTATTCACTTAACAAATGCAATGACTCACTTAACAACTGTGAAAAGAAAAGTCGTAAAATGGGTCAAATTTACTTAACAAATGTTTCACTTAGCAACAGAAACTTTGGGCTCAATTGTGGTCATAATTCAAGTACTACCTGTATCTCTGAGATTTATAACATGAAACAAGGAAAAAGGCATCAGTATTTGATTTTATAGCTGCGTGCAAAGTTAAATATTTTGAATACAAAAAAGTGCAATCCGTTTTTTCAAGGAAGGCTTAGAAAATAATGCATCATTGATAGTCTGGAGAAAATCTCAAATCAAACAGTTAATTAACTAATTAACTAAATTTATTTAATTTTTTATTTGATTTAGATACCATCTAAATCTAATAGATTCTGGGCAGCTCACAAAAGAAAAATAAATGTTACTATACAATGCAGAGTAAAGCCATACCCAGAATGGAGAGTAGAGACATTAAAAAAAAAGATAGCACCTTACCTGCTTCTGAAATAATTTTTATGACTGCATCAACATAGGTCTCTGGTTCATCATCATAGGTAAGCTCTTTCCATTGAGACCAGTCTTTGAAAAACTCATCGTAATTCTCACATGCTGAAACACCACAGAAAAATTTCACCACTTTTGATGGAGGTTGTAGAACATTTTGCAAACTCTGAAGTACATCAGGAATACAGAAGCTCTGTACCAATTCTGATGACAGTAGAATAATTATACACTTGCTGTTCCTGAAGAAAGCCTGTTCCTCCATGGAAATAGAAGCTCCACTCTCCACTTTATAACTGTGAATTTCTTGGAATGAGTGCAAGACACTCCGAAGATACTGACACCATTCATCAGCATCTTTTCCATATACAATCAGCACATTGCAAGCATCAGAGTGTTGTTCTGCTGAAAAGTAAAATAATTTTGATCTTACAAATGGGATTTTAAGCTATACTAATTGAATCAAATGTCAGTGCTGCCATTGTGCTTCACCCCATCACTGCTTTGCTGATGCAAGATTGCCATGAATCCTGCGGTGGGGGGGGGGGAGCTAACAGATAGGAGGGGAAGACCAGAAATCATATTTGAGTGGCTGCCAGAGACATCGGCTGTCTGACCCCAAGGCCACTAGCATGGGAATGGAATGTGGACCATCACGGAGACTGCCAAGCATCAGAACTGTTACCAAAACAATTAGTTTGAATCCAATTGGACACCAGAGATACTGTGGGGGAAGGACCTGGGAAAGGGGAAAGTAAGGCATTTTTCATATGCAAACCTCAGAACTGGCTTTTTCCTAACTTGTAACTGCTTGGCTCTAGTAAAGTATACCTTTCACTATGAATGCAGTCCAGTGGTGGTTTCCGGATCCCGTTGCAACTGGTACACTGCAATGGGGCCCGGCATCTACCACGTGCACACGCGCAGTGCACGCATGCATATTTACCACCCACAACGCTCCAGCTGCTTGGCGGAGCATTGCACAGGCACCGTACTCTCCGTGCGCGTACGCAAAAGCCCCAATCAGTTCAACTAAGGAGGGCAGGCAAGTGGGTGGGTAGACCCTCCAGAGCACTCTACCGGAACTGTACCTGGTGCTCCCAGCAGGCACCGGTACACCCGTTCCAGAGCGTACCGGTCCTATCCCACCACTGATGCAGTCAAAGGCTCTTTCTTCCTAATGAACGAATTGGGACAAGTCCAACATTAAGCCAAATCGGCAGTAACAATCTAGTCAGAGAATCAACTCTACAATGGAGATCGTGCAAGATATGTCAGATCATGAAGACTTGGGGGGAGGGTCAGCCACTTCGAAACTGAAGGACAGTGGGGCTAGAAGAAGCAGAGATACCCCCTAGAAGCAAGCTCCCAACTGAAAGACTGGTGGTCGATCAGTCAGGAGATTGGAGGATTGAGATAAACCTCCCCCAGAGTAACTCTTAGCCACAGAAGCTGATCCCAAGCCTGGCACTCCACAGAGGCAATTGAGCCCATACCGGTTGAACCCGATCTCCACACAATGGTGTTTGAGCAGGGAAATTGATTTTCTGAGTGATGCTTTTGACAAGCTGAGAACTCAATCCCTTCTGGAGTGGCCAGATCCACCACCGGCACAACAGATCCAGGGGGCAGCAGCCCAGCCAGCAGTTGCCTGACCAACTCCACCACCAACCCAAGCCACTATTCTGGGAAGAGGGGAGTCCATTGGTGCTAGGAGTGAAATTCAATGGAGATACAAAATAGCTAGCCTTCCTCCTAACCCAATTATGGAATTACATGGAAGAGTATGGGGCAGACCTACTGAACAACCTGGCCAAAGTGCTGTACATCACCATAGCCTTCGAGGAGGAAGCCACACAGTGGCTGATAGTCCTCCATGATGATGACACCATGCCAGTTCAATAGATTCATGACTGCCTTAAGGAAGTGGTTCGAAGACTCACTTGCTGACCAGAAAGTATGAACCAGGCCAAAATCCTCAAGCAAGAAAGAGGACCCAAAATCCTCAAGCAAGAAAAAGGACCTGTCACAGCCTACATTCAAGAGTTCCAGAGCTTGGCCAGCAAACTGGCAGATTGGCCCCAGGGCATGCTGATAGAGTGCTCCCATGAGAGGTTGGCCAACAAAGTGTTCTACTCCTGTCTGTCCAGGGGGATGCCAAAGGTGATATGTCCTGGCAGATAAAGTGAAAATCGAATTGGCCAAATACCATGCAGAATACCCAGAATAGCGATGATTATTCCAGCCCCAAAAATGAGAACATTCAAAACCAGGAAAACAAAATGCCAGCCCTCGCTACTGCAAGACCAGATGCTTTCAGTGCGGTAAGGAATGTCATCGGGCAGCTGATTGCTGAGCCTCAGTATCCAGAGGAGCTTAAAAAGGGAGGCAAGGAGCCAACTATTCGCTGCCAATTAGGAAAGTGAAAGGGGAAAGCGCAGCAATAGCATGCAAGCAGAGAAATCTCACATTGCTAATCCCAAGAGAGTATTGAGAGTTGAACAGGATTCAGATGTGCTTCTACTCCACTAGTCCTCAAACTGCATCATTAAAATTCTACCTGGGGCCAAATTACCCAAACCAAAGCTCTACTCTATGACATCAAGAGAGCTGAGGAACTGAGGTGATCATAGATAAGAACTTAGCCAGGAGTTTTACTCAACCCACAAAGTCACACATGGTGGTTCCCGTGCTATTCTTGGAAAAGACGGCTCCCTTCATATATCCATGGATTATCATGGCTCAATGTGATCTCTGTAGAAAATGTATATCCCCTACTGCCAATGAAGGACATGTTAGCCCATCTAGCAAAGCATTTTTTTAATCAAACTGGACTTGAGAAAAGCCTATTACCAGTTGTGCATCAATTGCCCCCCAGCATGTTTCCAATTCTGAGTCCTCCAGTTTGAGCTTTGGGGGGGGGGGCTCCTGACATATTGATGCAACTGATTAAAGAGCTTTTGCATGAAAACAAGGAGAGATTACACATTAATAAAGTTGGAAGGGACCTTTAAGGTCATCTAGTCCACCCCCTGCCCAGGCAGGTGACCCTACACCATTTCTGAAAGATGGCAGTCCACTCTCTTCTTGAAAGACTCCAGTGATGAAGCTCCCACAGCTTCCAAAGGCAACTTCTGTTCCATTGGTTGATTGTTCTCACTGTCAGAAAGTTCCTCCTTATTTCTAAGCTGAATCTCTCCTTGTTCAGTTTCCATCTATTATTCCTTGTCTGGCCTTCAGGTGCCTTGGAAAATAGCTTGATCCCCCTCCTCTCTGGGGCAGCCCCTCAAATATTGGAACATTGCTATCATGTCTCCCTGGTCTTCTCTTCACTAGACTAGCCATGCCCAGTTCCTGTAACTGTTCATTGTATGCTTTAGCCTCCAGTCCCCTCATCATCCTGGTTGCTCTTCTCTGCACTTTTTTTAGAGTCTCAACATCTTTTTAATAGTATGATGACCAAAACTGGATGAAGTATTCTAGGTGTGGTCTTACTAAGGCTTTATAGAGTGGCATTAGTGCCTCACTTGATCTTAATTGTATCCCTCTGTTAATGCAATTTAGGATTGTGTTGGCTTTTTTGGCTGCCGCTGCACACTGCTGGTTCATATTAAGCTGGTGGTCTACTAAGACTCCAAGATCCCTCTCTCAGTCACTGCTATTAAGCCTGGCTTCACCCAGTCTATATATGTACTTTTGTTTTTTCTTGCCTAAGTGTAACACTTTACTTTTCTCTACGTTGAATTTCATTTTGTTAGATAGGGTCCAGTGTTCAAGTCTGTTAAGATCCATCTGATTCTTGAGTCTATCTTCTAGGGCAGGGGTCTGCAACCTTAAACACTCAAAGAGCTATTTGGACCTGTTTCCCACCGAAAAGAAAACACTGGGAGCCACAAAATCTGGGTGGGCATGGCCAACTCCACATCACTCACTCCAACCCAGTTACATTACCCTCCTAGCCATGCCTACCCAGGTTTTGTGGCTCCTGGTGTTTTCTTTTCTGTCGAGGAAAGAGGTATCTCTGTGTGTCTGTGTGTCTTTCTTCCTCTGTCTCTCTTTCTCTCTCTGTCTCTCTCCCTTTCTCTCTCTCACGCACACCTCTGTCTTTCATCCTCTCTGTCTCTCTGTCTCTCTCTGTCTCTCTCTGTCTCTCTCTGTCTCTCTCTGTCTCTCTCTCTCTCTCTCATGTGTGTGTGTGTGTTCACTCTTGAACCCTTTCCAAAAAGAGGTTGGAGTTGTTGTTTTTTGCGGATGATGTTCTTTCTTCTTTGGGTGCTTTTTACCATATGATTTAAATCAAGAATCATTTCACGTTCCTAGTTAAATGAAGCTCTTTCATCTTCCTGCTGTAGTTCCCTGTTAGCTAAATCCACCACTGGCTGGCTCCGCCTCCCATCCTCTCCTCCCAGTTACTTCTCATCTGCCCTGAGAATCTCTCCGCTCTGAGACACTGGCCTGGACTGGCTGCAGCCAATGCTTCATGTCGTAATGGGCTCCAGGAGGAGGAGGAATGCCATCTCCCCCATTGTGAAGCACACTAAATTTAATTGTGCTGGGAGAGCAGCAGGCAGGCGATGGAGGTGGCAAGAACAGTGGCATTGGCCACAGCCGGACCAAGTCAGTGTCTCAGGGCAGAGAACAAGTAGTGTATCTTCCCAAGCGACTGAGCTGTGCACAACACCCAAAAGGGGTGGGAGAAGTGCGTGTGACTTGGGATAAGTACAGGGGCACTTTGCTCCTGCTCTGGACTATGGAACGAGTCTCCATCTTACCTTCTCAGGGCAGGCAAGGAATGACTGGGAGGGGAAGGGCAAGGGGCGGGGCCAGCCAGTGGTGGGTTCAACCGACAGGGAGCCACAGCAGGGGAACAAAAGAGCTGCATGTGGCTCTGGGGCTGTGGGTTGTCAACAAACGTTCTTGGTGGTTAGCTATTCCTGCCATCTTAGTATCATCAGCAAATTTGGTTAAGTTCCCCTTCTATTTCCTCATCCAAGTTGCTTATTGAAGAGTACTGGGCCTAAGACGGAATCTTGTGATACCCCACTGCTTACTTCCCTCCATGTAGACATAGATCCATTAAGGACTACTTGTTGAGTACAATTTGTCAGCCAGTTACAAATCCATCTGGATTTGTAATGGCAGTGATGCTATCTAACATACTTTTTTCTGGCTTATCAAGAACAAGGTTGTGGTCTATTTTGTTGAATGCCTTACTCAAGTCTAAGTATATTATGTCCACAGTATTTTGCTGGTCTATTGATTTAGTCACTATGTTGAAGAATGAAATAAGATTGGTTTGGCATGATCTGTTTTTAACAAACCCATGCTGACTGCTAGTTATTGCTTTACTCGTTCCTAGATGTTGGCAGATCTGTTTTTTTTAATTATATTTTTCAATATCTTCCCGGGTATTGATGTTAGGCTGTTTGGTCTGTAGTTTCCAGAGTCTGTTTTTTCCATTTTTTGAAGATGGGAGCCATATCAGCTCTTTTCCATTCCTCTGGTAATTTCCCAGTGCTCCAGGTTTTCTGAAAGATGTGATACAGTGGTTCTGAGATGCCATCTGCCAGGTCCTTTAGAACTCTGGGATGTAATCTAACCAGGGATGATTGGTTTGTCCACCACCAATTGTACAATGGCTCGCTTGCATGGGAAATTGACTCTACATGCCCAAAAGGCAACAGCTACCCATCCTACAGTGAAGCCAAGACTCAGAACCTGTGGGACACTTCGGGTTTCTCCAATCTGTCCACTTAATAAAACATCAGTTCTGGTGGCTCTACATGAAGAAGGACATAGGGTGATGTGTTGCTGGATGCCCATTGTATGCAGTGGCAAAAGGCCACCCTGGCACACCCTGGAAGGAAATCTCCATGAATTTTATTGTTGAACTACCAGAAAGCTCTGGGAACATGCTGACCTAGATTGTTACCGAGCTCTTCTCTAAACAAGTACACTTTGTGGCTTGCTGCAAAATACCTTCTGCATGTACTCTAGCAAAACTCTTTATGCAGCACATCTATAGTCTTCACAGGGTCCCTGACCAGATCATCTCAGACAGAGGTGTCCAATTGACCTGACAATTCTGGCAAGAGTTTCTCAAGCTTTTGGGGACACTCAGGAGCTTAGCTCCTCGCATCACCCCCAAATGAATGGAACCTGTGAACATATGAATGGCCTGCTGGAACAGTACCTTTGATGTTACATCAATTACCACCAAGACAACTGGTCCAACCTCCTCCCATTTGCAGAAGTTGCATATAACAATGCTGTTCATAGCAGTACCAGACTCACACTATTCTGAATGGCGACCAGCCAAGATTTTGTGGCTGTACCAGAACTATCCTGACTGAACCCTCAAATCACCTTACTGGCAGAATGAATTAAATGAATTAAATCCCTCCAAACCATCTGACCTGGTGTGCACAAGGTGCAAGAAGACACACAAAAAATCCTACAAAAAATCTCTAGATGAAAAATGTTCTCAGCAAAAAGACTTTTAAATGGAAAAGGAAGTCTACCTCTCCACCAAACTGTTGCAGTTTAAAAAATAGGGCCCATATATTGGCCCATTCTCCATTTGCTGAGTTATTAACCCAGTCACAGTTCAATTAACACTGCCAAAAACCCTCAGGAACATGAACATCCATCCTGCTTTCCACTGCAACTTATTAAAGTCGGAGACCACATCTCCTTTGTGCCGTGCAGTGAACCCACCTCCAACACCAAACCTCACTGAAGGAAAACAATGCTTTGAGATCAAAGACATTCTTGACTCTCACCTTCATAAGGCAAACTCCTATGGAAGGACTTTCCACCCTCTGAAACTGAGTGGGTCAATCTGCAATATGTGCAAGCCCCAAGTCTCCTTCCAAAATTCCATGGCAAAGGATTAGCCTTTCATAGTAAGGATGGCAGAATGTCACTGCTACCATCCTACTTTTGGCACATTGCTTCCTTGGTGATGCCAGACTGCCATGAACCCTGGGGGTGGAAGTGGGAGGGAGCCAACAGATCCCGTGGTGGGATTCAACATTTTTTACTACCAGCCCTGTGGACATGGCTTGGTGGGTATGGCAGGGGAATGATACTGTAAAATCTCTATTCCCTCCCCACTAAAGGGGAAGGTTAATGCAAAATCC